AAAAAAAAATAAAAATAAAAAAATAGAAAGATGGACATTTCCAAGCCAAAAATGTCCTCAGTGTGTCACCTGCAAAACTACCCTTTAAATGCGTTATCATTCTTAAAGACAAATGGCAGGTGTGACAGGATTCAATAAGAATACGATCTAAAAGCAATAAATGTTTGGGAACCCCGGATCCTGGGAGACCTCTGCTCTGCAGTAATGGCTGCAGTGTGGAGGCAGCTGGGGAACGACGCCAGAGTCCAGCTGGTTGCTGTTCCTCTGCAGCAATTCTCCAAATTTTTACTTTCTGTTTGAATTCCTCAATGTTTTCCCTTCAGCTAAGTAACAACAGAGAACAGACATACTCATGCTCTATCGTTGCCTTTTTAAAAAAGATTTTTAGTAGAGTAAAAGACATTCACACGGAAGGAGTTCCTTATATTTTGGTTATTCAGGTATTCGGTCTGGTATTCTGCTATATCTAAAATAATTTCAGCTCTATACATCCGTCACTGGTGGAAGAAGACAAATTCCTGCAAACAATATTTAGTTTCAAAGTCAAGCCTGTGTAAAAATAGCCAGCGGCCAGTTTTGGAAAGACTGCGCTGCCTCCTGAGAGTGTACTACCTGGATAAACTATGGGAATATATCATTAAAATAACTCTTTGACAGTGAAGCCTGACGGCATACATTTTCTGATGTAACCTTTTGTCTTGTTTTAGTCGACCCGACATTTGTTACGGAAGTGCAGCTCGGGATGAGAACGCAGGGCTGAGTTTTCAAACAGAGCACAAAGGTCATATCTGGCTGTAATTATATTCATCAGATGCAGAAGGGAAAATGCAGTCTCACTCCCTAAGAAAATATTTAGCATAAGATCAAGCCTGAATTTACCCTCATTTGCTAGCTACCTGTGGCAGTGCTTTTCACATCTCTCACATAATCAGAAAATTGGAAGCAAAGAGGGGGAAAAAATGCCGTTTTTACTTGTTGATATATTCTAAAAGCATTTTATTTTCCATTAATCATGCTTTGCTCTTAAGATTGGGGAAATATGTGCAAAAAAAAAAAAAAGCATTTCTGTGTTAAAGATATAGACAACTGTTATCATTCATACAGTGCCAAGATGATTTCCACAGGAGAGTATGTGGCTGCCAGTAGGGCTTGAGTAGGCTGTTATGTATTTACAGCTGGAAAGAACCATCTTTTCTAGGGATTGATTTGGTCTGGTCCCGGGCCCGTGTACCAGAGGTGGCAGAGTAAATACCTGAAGACTAATGTCTCTGTTCTGGTAATCAATACTCGCCTCATGACCACACTCCTGGCTACGCTCCCGTTAAAAACAAATTTGTTAATTCTGACAATTTAATTGCCGTGACCATGCATGCCTTGTGTTGTATAAGCAGGTAGTTGAACCTCTCAGCGAGGGAAAAGGGGTCCTGGAAAGAGTGTAACCAGTTGGGATTTATGTACATTTCTGCTCCCTGCGTGATGAGTGATGAGGTTGAAGTGCCGTGGATTTTTTTCTTAATGTGGCACTCCCGCTCCACGCATAGCTTGTAATCACGGCATAATTTAAAAGCATTACAGTGATTACCAAGATGGTAAAAGCCGTGATGTTAAAGCTAAAGTTGTATTATTTAAATTCCCTTTTCTTTTTTCTTTTTTTTAAAAGTTCTTAAAAAAAGAAAAAGTGGGGGAGAGGTGGAGGCGGAGGAGTTGTTTATTAGAACAGTTGTAGTTCATTTTAGTTAATTTCATATTGTTGTCTCACACACACACACACACACACACACACACACACACACACACACACACACACACACACACACACACACACTCTGTGGGTTAAATTCCAGGCTGAATGTTTGTACACTAAAGCTGAAGTTCCGTTTCATGAGTTTGTATGCTCCACATAATTCCCAAGCACACACACACACACGCACACGTCATATTCAAAAAAGAGAAAAAGTTACCTACTTTAAGAACAGGAAGGCTGGGAGGCTGGCACACAGCTTGTCACTTATGTTCACTTTTATGTATCTGGTGATAAGTGATGTAACTTTAGCCAAAATAGCTCCTAATGGACTCACACACACCCACAATATGCTGAGTTGTTATTTGTGTTGCATGTACTTCAGTGAATAGACCGAAGAGCTATTTATAAGCTGTTTGAGGTTTTCATGGCTTGATACTGTGTGTTAGCGCCGTCTTAATATGGGGGGGAGGATAATTGCTGAGCATGCAATGCATAGAAGTTCAAATACATTTCTGTTTTTAAGCTCCTCTGACAAGTCCCCTGTCCACTTGCTTGGTGCGAATACAATGGCATGTGGTACGTATTAGGGGAGCTGGTAGTAATTTCAGTGCTGCTAACTAAAGAATCCTCCAGGGAGGCTTAATTACAGGAAGGCCATTCTAAATATCAGTGAGCTGCATATTTTCCATGACAAGAGATTTTTTAGCCGCGCTCGTCTAGCAGTTTCAAAGTGTACGGCTACACGGCACGGCTGTGCATTTTTAGGAAGTGCAATTGATCTCCACCACAATCCCAGGTGGTGATGACAAAAAATCCCCTGGATATGCGTTCAGCGACTCGCCGGACTGAACGTGGTTACTTGCAGCTGAGTGCTGGATTAGAACACAAAGTCGTGCACAGAAGCAGTGAAAGCACTCACTGTATTGCCAGCTATGTTTATAAATGTAGAAGACTTGCCAGCCAGTCTTTGTGTTGTGAACTTGCGTCTGTGGATCTTTACCATGCACCGCTGGGGAAGTACGGGGCTCTGTAAATGTTTGCAGATTTTTTTTGTCTTTTTAAATAATGTATTTGGAGTCTCAAGTTGTGTCAGCTAAAATCAAAACGGGACGTGTGTGACCATCATTTTGTTTAAATGTGTCTGAAAAGCCTGAGTATGAAGTTGTGTTTGTTATGCTTCATGGTAAATGGGGGAAAAATGCAGTTAGGGTTGTGTTTGCATTTGGGTTTTGTCTCTACGAATAATGTTCGTAGCTGTGACTGTCTGAAAATGTAGTACACGTGAGCGCTGCACTGAACCGCTGAATCGTGGTAAAGACTGAAATGCAAATAGTTGCATTAGGATAAACACAACATATGCTCACTTCAAGCAAAAAAAAAAGCAAAAAACATAACATCCAGATCATATTAAAAAACTTGCCTTATCTTACTAAAAGGCCTCAGATTGTTCTTCATTTTATAAAACATAAATTAATTATGTTCTGAAAATGAAATACAAGATTTTACTTGGAGTTGAATCTTAAAGAAGACTGTTGACAATTGATTTTAATTGATTTTGCTTAAGCTAATTTAACAAAGAAACAAACACTTTTATTTTCACTGTGTGATAATGGATACAAATAACTAGTCCACTGTTATTTTTTTACTGTGTGTAAGGGGATTGCTTATAAGAGCTTTTTTTTTTCTTTTCTTTTCTTTTTTAAAAATGTGCATCAATTTCTTTTTTTTTTTTAAATCGACTTGATGTGAAAGCTTTTGTGTCCTTAAACTCTGTCATAAAATAAAGTCGGATGCATTCGTGTCGTGTCAATCCACAGTATGAAATACAACCTTGACTTTTATGCTGTAATTACTTCAAATGCAAAATAAGATGGCTCTTTCCCCCTCCTGCTTCCCACTCTAGCATCCGAGGACGATATTCTCAAAGGCAAGCAGTCCATCAGGAGCCAGGCTCTGGGAAATCAAAACTCAGAGAGCGAGGCATCCCTCGACGGAGATGATGACACTCTGTCGTCACTAGAGGACAAGGACCTGGAGAACGTCACAGGTAAAGAAGCAGCTTGTGTTCGCCACCTCCCATACCTGCTCCTCGGTCATTCCCCCACCTCCCTGCTTGTATTTGTGTCTGTGTTGTAATTTCCCCCCCTGCAGTTCAGACCAAATAAAGAAATGGCGGCACTGTAGTTTGAGTTTTTGCTACATGTGCAACTCTGATTTACTGCATTGAATACGAGGAATCTATACACGAAACAAATCCAAACAGTGTCTTCCTTATCTTCCAAAGCAGGCTGTGATTTTCCAATATGACCTTGGTGTTTTATTATATTGCTGTGCTTCTTTTTACATTCATACTTGAGTAATTTGTGTGTACAGCTCCTTTATAAACAAAGGAAAACCAGCTTTTTAATGAGCATACATCACTTTCTCATAGCACATCACTGGAGTGCTAGTGCCACCATGGCATCTTAACTTTCCTGCCTCTGCCAATGGAGGCTTGCTTTACAAACTTACTGTACACACACCGGCACACACACAGGCCCAAGCAGCAACTCTAAACATTTTTTTTTTATCTGGCAATAGCAGCTTACCCCAGGATAGCTCTTTTCAAATGAGGTATTATCTGATTGAAGGAGGGTAGCTTTTCCTTTTGATAAAACTTTAAATTCCCTTCATGTGAGCCTGGTCAGCTACTGCAGCTGCAGAATGAGGATGAGATTCCAGATCACGATGTTGCCCCACCTCCTTTTTTTTTAATGTCTGTTATTTAAATAATCTTCATTTAATAGGCCTATTGCCGTGTAATCCGCATATTATGCGCAGTGACAGCGCTCAGCAGACTAAGCTGCAGTAATTGGGCTTAGAGTGCTATAAAAATAATGCATCTGGATGACAATGGGATTAAACACTGAATCCTGTCTAATCGTGTGATTTATCCCGCGAGAAGTGCGTAGAAGTTGTCGGGAGAGGTTTAGCTGTGCTCTTAAGTAGCTGTCTGCTCCAGGTGTAATTGAATGTCTTTGAGTGAACGGAACAAAAAATGTTATTTCAACCCACGGATAACATGTCAGTACTCACGGGGTTCACGACAGGCAAAGGGATGACTATATACATATCTGTTTATTCCATCCGTGTGCGAGAGCGCGAGGGTGCTCGGGGAAATCAAGCCCGCAGCTCCGCGGCGCACATCTGCAAATACAATGGCTCATATGCGCAGAGCCGGGCAGAGCTTCCACCCACAGCTCCCCTGAGCCAGGCTCTCATTGTCATACTGGCATAAATTAAGATTGATGAGAGATGAAATACAGCTTCTCCCAGAAGCCACCGATCAATGGATCCTGATGAACAGTCAGTTTTGACAGTTGTGACGCAAAGTAGTATTTTTAATCAGTCATATTTTTTGAGTGTTTTCGGCTTTTTTGCCCCACACAGTTTTATTATATAAAGTAAAAACACGTGTTGGTGAACTTCTATTGTTTCATGTGTGTTGGTTTTGTCTTAAATTTGCCAATAAAACGCTGATTATTTTAAACAACCGAAGCATTTTGTTTTTTAAAAACATGGCAGCTTTATTGTAAAAGTAATACCGTGGAAGTTGGTTACTGCGAGATTGTGCGTCAGCTTTAAAAGTGGTCAGACGTTAACGTTATCTTTACCGTTTACCATGATTAACTTTCACGAATTAACCAGATCCCTGGTTTGTTTTTAACTTTTCCATCAGGTTGGATTCTTTTGATTTTCCTTTTTACAGCTTCGCATTAGCGCTCAGTGGTCCCCAGTTTGACGTTCTCGTTTTGTGACCGGCCTGTGTCTCTGTCCGTCCTCCAGGCCCAGTAAACATGAGCACCAGCGCTCAGCTCGTGGCTCCGGCTGTGGTGGTAAAAGGCACCCTGTCCATCACCGCCTCCGAGCTCTACTTTGAGGTGGATGAAGAGGAGCCCAGCTTCAAGAGCATCGATCCAAAGGTAAGGGACTCAAGCTCCATTGATCATGTTTCTCACGGTCACTTACAGAAAACATGCTTGGATTTCCGATAGGCCCTGCTGGCATCTAAATGTCACACAGAAGCTTGTGTGTTTTTATGTCTGCTTTGTTTTAAAATTAATAAAATATTTTTTTAGTTCATTTGTAAGCTTTTCTAAACATTTGTTAAAGAGGACACGCGGTTGAAGTTACCATAAGGTTGGATTCCAACTGCGTCTGTCTCGCTTTACAGTGGTTTCTGGATTCTATGAAACTCATTTTATTTTCCCCTGAAAGTTTTTTAAGTTTAATTTAAAAAATAATCTTTATTGGTAGAACATTGTTATAACAGCTAATTTAGCAATTGTATCATGTAAGTGTGCAGCATTTGTTTCATCACTATAAGAAAAACACAAAAGTTGAAATTGCATTAAATTATGCTCTGATTTGAAAATAAAAATGATTTCAATTTGTTTTAGTAATATTGGTCAGTAAGAGGAGTGCTGACCTACAGGTGGTTGTTTGTTGTCAGTGTATGGTGGGTGTTGGCTAAGACTCTGTAAAATTATCATATTTATTTAAGCGTTATTTTAATAAAATCCACGTTTAGTTGGGTGTTGTTTTATATCAGAATGAATATAAATAAATATGGCAATAAAGGTTTCAAATAGTAAAATCAGTTCATTACTAGATTTCTTTTTCTCACTCTGCTGTAGGCCCTTTGCTTGTACCACTGTTCAAACAGAGCACAGATGCTCCCAGACCCACACATTAACACCAGAGCCTGGATTTACATTCATTTAAAAAACAACAACCCAAAAAAATCCAATCCCGTTGAGCTTGGCACTCTTACAATAACTTATGGCCTAAAATGGGCCTTTTAAAAATAAAAAAGTAAAATAAATAAATAAATTGCTAAATCATTTTAATCTTTTTTCTGCCTGTGTTTCATCAACTTACATTTTGTCCTGTGATTTTTTTTTTTTTTTTTTTTTAAAAAAGCTAAAGTGAAACAGATTTGCAAATTTGCCATCTCAGCTGTCCAAAGACGTCCAAACATGAGGCCAAGTTGTAATTTAATTTGCAACATTTTATTAACATTTCTTCTTTAAGTCACATAATGGAAAAAAAATGAACTTGGCACGCTACATTTTCTTCTTTCACTTAACGATTTTTGTGCATATATTTAAATAAAAGTTTCTTCACTTTGTGAAAACATTTAAAGAAGACAACTAAAATTTCTTACATTTATTTGAAACTGTACCTTCACTTTCTCTCGGCAGGGGCCCAATTGCTCCATTTATTATTAAACAAAAGTGGGGGTTTTGTTTGTTCGCTTCATTATTTTCTTGCTGATTTTCTTTTCACATTTCTTGGAGACTCGGTTGAAGAATAGTCTTTGAATTTTATCCCAAAAATGTCCTTCGCCGCAGTCTTGACAACCAGTTTATAATTTGTCCAAACTTTTAGCGTTGGTGAGGATTTCCCTCGCTAGTCTCCATGTCTGCTTAGCAGCAACCTCCAGGGCTGAGTGAGGCTTTCCCTGAAACAAGTCCAAGTTTGGCAAGAAGTAGTGGGGACATCTGCGGCATTGCAGACAGGATATGAGTTGCAGCAGGATACCATTGAGTCGGTCTCCGAGGCAAGACTCGTCCCAGTCGGTCTCTCTCGGGTGTTTCTCGCACTCGTACAGCAGCAGGGTCTTCATGTGGTAGTTGTTGAGGGGCTGTCCCGGCAGCTCCAGGTGACGGTCCCTCAGAGTCTTGAGGATGGACAGACACTTCTTCCTGCAGCCTCCCATTAGCAGCCTGTTCTCGGCCTCGCTGAACTGGAGGACCCAGGCGTCGCTCTCTGCGGAGCTCTGCTTCCCCGTTAACGAGTAGCACTCTTTGGAGAGCAAGTTAAAGCCCTCGGCTTTCACTTCTGCTACCCTGTTAGGGCCGGGCCAGGGGATGTGGGGCATGGGCCACTGAGCTGCACTTCTAGGCCAAATCCCAGTGCACTTGAATGCGGGGGTGATTTGCACCACGTACCTCTCCCTGATCCGTAGTTTGACCTCGCTGGTGTCGGCGACCATCTTTACCACGTCACGGTAGCTGCATTTATCCACGGCCTGTGCCACCAGAGTCTGAAATCTTGAGCGGATCTTTCTGGCTGATAGGTAGCCCGAGGCTGTGATGAACTCGACCCACAGCGACATGCTCCTTTTGCGGCCATCGCTCAGCTTCAGCACCGCGCAGCCGGGCAAGGAGCCGTCATCCACAAAGTTGAACACCCCCATCTGGTTAAGGTAAAGCACCACCTCAAACTCATTGGGGGAGATGACCTCCATCCCCTCGTAGCGCGCATCTATCTCACTGAGGGAGCTGATGAAGCGGGGTTCCTGCACTTCCACCTCTTTCAGGACATCGGACACCACTTTACAAACCTCCCTTATAGTCTTCGCAATGGCCGCTTTGCGAGCTTGGCATCTGTCGTTGTAATATTTGTTAAGCTGGTAAACCAGCTTTGCCTGCGTCGCAATCATGTTCGGGCAGAGGTCCGGGCTGTACACCGGAGAGTCGCAGTAATTTGACGGATCCAATGCTTACCGGTAAAGCCAGAGGCAAACGCTCACCGTGCAGGAAAAATGTGTAATCAAAGTTTTTTTTCTCTCCTTGCTTTTGCAGCGGATGGACGTCAGTGTGAGGAGGAGGAAACGGATAGGGATGCAACGTAATAGCTTACTAAATATCAGTCCAAGACATGAGCACTTCCAGCACAGCTTAGAAGATTCATATTCAGGTTGTGGGTCACCATCCGTTTCCCGGACTGTAGACACTAAAGGCTAAAACGCCGCGTATGACCACTCATCTCTTCTTGCTCTTATTCTCTCCTCTGTGCCCCCGCTCACTTTTCGTCCACACTCAGCTTTGAGCTGGATTTGTGTACTTTATGAATGGTTCCTTTAGAAGAGTGAAGGGGGTCGGGCTTCTCCTCCTGCAATCATGTGCAGAGCTGTCAGTGCAGGCAGCCAATCAGAGCTGCCAGAGGCAGACGGTCCTGCAGGAGAGCTCCAGTTCGCTTTGAAAGCATCTGGGCACACGGTGCATGCAGTCCAGCGCTCCCCAAGTCGACACAGGAAAACGCAAACCTTTAGGTTTACACTTCATATGCCGGTGTAAACTCTCCGCGCCGACAGTAAAACATTTTTTTCCACGACCAGTGCCGCTCCTTTACGCGCAGCCTCTCCTGCATTTTGAGGATTGAGATTTTGAATCTTTAACTTAACAGTTGCTTGCATTCTGCAGATAAGTGCCTCGCTATTTCTCCTAGTTTTTAATTTAACAAGTTTCTTTCTCTATCTTAAAAAATAAAAATAAAAATGCCACTCCGACTTCCAAGGCTCAGTAATCGCAACGTCTATAGGCTTTTGCGCCACTTTCTTCATAAACAAGTCTCTTGATCATCGCTGACTTAAATTTTTTTTTTAATACTCGGGGTTTTGCGGATTTTGGGCGTATTCTCCATGTTTTGAATTAGACACCTAACACCAGGTATGATTTGCTGGCATTATTTTGTGAAATAAAAGTGAAAATTCTTTTATTCCCTCTTCATCTGAAATCAATCCCAATTCTCCTTACTTTGTGAAAATCGATTTTTTTAATATCACATCCGTGGGTCATTTTCTTTTAATTAATTATTATGTATGTTTTTCTTCTTGCTGATTAATCTCCGATCGACACAGTTTTGTCGGTGTACTGTTTGCTGGGATAAATGTGTCCAATGCACCTGCAGCTTCCCCTCTGAAGCTCTTTAGTGACGTGAACGAAACCAAAACGGCCCCAACGACTTTTCCTAAACCTGATGAGCTGTTTAACTAATCAAGTGATGTATTTTTGGGATTGGTTTAGCATATTTTACACAGCCAGTACACAGCATTGTGTCTAGTTAAATAACTTATTCAGCGTGTGTGTGTGTGTGCGCGCGCGTCTTCCCTAACGCACACTCACACACCGCCCGTGGCTTGATCGCCGTGAACCCTGACCATATGCTGAATAATTTAACTAGAGGTCTTTGCGTAGACATCCCTTTGTCACCGCGTGTTGGAGAACTAAAGAAGCCATTACATCCTCTCACAGACGAGAGGCTGGGGTGTGAGGGCATGTTTAAGCAACATGTAATATTTAGTCCTTTTCTATCCCGTCACGCGTCCAGAGAACGACATTGCGATAATAGTGCGTCTTAAATTTGATTTTAATGAAACATTTGATGAGACTTTCAGGTCTTTTAAAAAATTAGTTTAAATATTTGGATTAATTTTATGCAAACATATATTTTGACCAAAGCATCTCAGATTAGGCCTAGAATTTTTAAAGACCGCTGTCGATTATTGTGACCTCATTTTCTTGAAATACAATCAATAATAAGCAGCGATCAGGCATCGTTTTTGAAGCTTCATGTGGAAGGTGTTTCTCGGAGTGAATGTTGGTAGGAGGCAAATAGGCCTTCTGCTGTGGCTGCCACCGATTAATAGAGAATCTGTCGTGCGTTTCATCTGCAACCTGAAGGCTGCAGAGAAAACAAGGTTGCTGGATTTTTGTTCAAAGAGTCAAATATGGAGTTTGCTCCAAGCTTCCTGCAAATGAAATGTAAAAAACAAAAATAAGAAAAATAAAGGAAACTTTTGACACTTGTTACTAAATTATAGATAAGGCAGAATATTGCTTCATTAATTATTCTCAGGAGCCATCCGCTGATATGAAGTGGCCAAACTATGCGAAAGATACTGAAATAAGACATAAACATTTCAGAAAAGTCTTAGATTAATGAGCCAAACTTCACAGTTGCCACATTTTCTGGACTTTATCATGTTGCGTTTTCCACAAGTGGTGATAATTTTGAGAAGTGTGAAGTTGGTCATGATGTGTAATTTTTTAGCTATATTGTAAAAGAAGTTTGAGACCTTTTTAGTATTTGAGCTCAAACTAGATGTGTTTAACACACACACACAAACACACAT